ACAAAAAATAAAAAAATATATATATAAAACGACCCAGCATTAAAAATGACCCAGCACCTGGGTAAGAAAAAAAATATAAAAAATGACCCAACAGGTTGAACCCAGCATTTGGCTTAAAAAATAGTGTGTACAGGGATTAATAGCAAAACATTATGATTTCAGTAAATCTTCAAGAAGCATAAAGGGAATCTGTGTAATACTACCACATGCAAGCTAAGCTTTGTATTCAGAGAAGAGCACATAAATCAGAATATTGACAGGCTGGTAAATGAATTCGACACAAATATGTAGGGAACCCTGTAATGAAATTGACTTGAAGGCATTATGTAGTTAAAAACAAAAAATGCTAGTTTAAAGTTTGTGATAGATTGTGATAGGCCTATTCGCTGCACTTGCCAATAGATTGTATGTTATCTCGATCGAAATTCTTACTGTTAGGAGAAAGATGTAATGACAAGTAGAGATTTCACTATACTGTCGACAGACGTGAAGTGATGTGGCGACGTGATCTGAAAAGTGCATGAGTTATAAAAAGACACTAATAACTCAGCCCTATGCGGTTTGTGTTTCCCAGATTTGTTATTATCACGAAATGGGGAAAATTTGTTTTCGTGACAGCTTACATAGATTGCTATCATGACTATTTATGAGGAAAGCCGCTAAAGTTCTCGCCCCAGTTAACACTGAAAGCTGATGTCCTTTATGAACTCTGTCTACACTCTTAAAATTAAGATTCTGTATCGGTATCAGTGGTTCTATGAAGAACCTTTAACCTTAATTGAAACTTTCCATTGTAAAAAAGTTTTCTTTATAGTGGGAAATGGTTCTTCTCACTAAGAAAAGAAGGCATTTCTTCTATATGACAATGGAAAGAAACAACCTTTGTTTTAAAGAGTGTAGTATGCGCGTGGGTGAGGGTCTGCGCCAGGAACCCCCTCACATTCAAGGATGTGGTCATGCTGTTGGTCAGCTGCAGAACTCAATTTTTCCACTAGAGGACGATGGAGCTGCAACTTTACACAGGGAAATAGTGAATTAGTGATTTAATTGAACAGATCCCGTACAGTAGATACTAGAGGTTTGGCGCAAAATAACCACACGCATACAACCATTTAGGCATTGCTTGCGACGTCACAATAATCACGAGAGTTTTGAAAAGCCATTGGGACTCCATTTCCCAGTGTCACCGAGGATGAGCGTCCTTATAATAAAACAGCCCAGTTTCGAAGAGGATGGAGGGAGGGATGCGTGATCGTGTCGTCAGCGATGCACCTGCGAAGCGCTCTGTCGCAGCATCTCACTGGCGCTGCTTTAGAATGAACGAGAGCGAGTTGCTCAGCATCGCAGCATGCGTAAACTCCGCTCCTCTCGCGGAGGATCTGTTGTTTGAAGTTTGCAAGCTCACATAAATGACCGTGCAAAACGCGCGTCTCTCTCATTTCGTTTACAGATGACCGTCGCGGCAGCAATGGCAGGGTCAAACATGGTGTTTTCCGATGTTGAAAGTTTTCTAGACGAGCACCCGGAATTATTACAGGACTATCTGAACAGAAAAGCCAAGGCAAGTATGGTGGAAAAGTGGATGAAGAACCATCACGCCACTAAAACTCCGGCGAACTCCAGCGCGGAAGTGGAGAAAGCGGCGAACGCGTGCGGCAAAGACAGCTGGGCGAGCAGAAGCGACGGGCTGCAGAGACGAGCGTCGCAGAAAGAGCTGAGAAAAACCTTCGCCAGGTCCAAAGCCATCAACGCCAACAGGACTTACGACGAACATGTTAACTCCAGAGCCCAGGAGCCGCTGACCAGCATGAGGAGACGCGCGCTGCTGCGTAAAGCCAGCTCTCTGCCGCCAACCACCGCGCACATCCTCTCCGCGCTGCTGGAGTCCCGGGTCAACATCCCTCAGTACCCCTCCACCGCCGTAGACTACAAATACTACCTGAAGGAGCACAACGAGAGGGAGTTCTTCCTGGAGCTCGTCAAAGACATCTCCAACGACCTGGATTTGACCAGTCTCAGCTACAAGATCCTGGTGTTTGTGTGCATCATGGTGGATGCTGACCGCTGCTCCCTGTTCCTGGTGGAGGGACCGGCCAGTAAAAAGACTCTGGTGTCCAAGTTCTTTGACGTTCATGCTGGAACCACAGTGTTGCCCTCTCTCAGTAACTCGGATGAGGTGCAGGTGCCCTGGGGAAAGGGCATCATTGGATATGTGGCTGAACATGGGGAAACTGTCAGCATTCCCGATGCATATCAGGTGAAAGCAGGAATAAAGTGATTGCTTCTTGTCCGAAAGAAAGAAAGAAAGAAAGAAAAACCTTCAAGGATGTGTGTTTGGAACCACAGTTGTAAAGGGATAAAAGTATCAGTCAAATAAGAACTTACTTAAAGTCAAATTCCTATGTATGATTTTGCATTTTCTTATTTAATTCTTTTAGGATTCTTTTTAAGTCCTACAGCCATTTAGAATGTTTTAGGATGGTTTCCAAATAATGATAGAAATTGCTCTGGGATTAGGAATACGTTGTTACCATACAGTAGGGTCCATGGTGAGGTCACTCACATTACATTTTCCCATATGGATAATTAATTATCATATAGACAGGTCAGCACATATTAAGTGAAATAGAAGTTGATTGTTTCTAGTCCAAAAGTCTTAATGTGCATATGATTGATCAATTTATCCTATTGAATAAAGTGAAAATCCTATTTTTCAGGTTATTTTGTTATTAGTATTTATTTTTGTTCCAAACAATGATTTTATTTATTTATTTTAACTGAAGGATCATTGGATAAATAATTATCAGTTAGGCAGGAAAGTATTTTACAGAGACAATTATTGATGGGGAAACTCCCGATGCATAGCAGGTGAAGCAGAAATCAAATAATTGTTTAAAAAAAATCTAAAGAATTATTCTGATGGGCGTTCTGCTATACTTACGATCAAATGTAAAGGTATTAAAGTCATGCAGAATAAAAAAAAAAGTTGCTATTTTAATTCAAAGTGTTAATGTTGAAGTAATGTTAAAGTCATTCAATGTTTGTAAAAGCATCTAAAACCTCCTAATGCCAGATGAATTTTTATGATACATCTGTTCCAAATGATCATGAACATGGAATTTATATTGTAATTTCAATATGAAAACAGTTGTAAAGGGACCAAAGTAATAGCCCTAATAATAACTCTTACTTTGATCTGTTACAATTTTCCAAATTATGAGATAGAAATTCAAGATGATGAAGCTTGGGGCATCTGTTGCGAGGTCAGTCATACTACATTTTCCCATATGAATAATTACTTGTCAGATAGAAAGGAACAAATTTGACTGATATCACTTTTGATGGAGAAAGAGCAATCTTTCCTGATGCATAACAGGTGAGGCAGGAATACAATGACAGTTCTTAGTTCGTCGAGAACAGATTTGCTAATTTAATTTGGATTCCATCCTAATGGGAGAAAAAAACGAATCCTTTAAGAATCCTTCCGAAACTTTCGGTAGTAAAACAATTTTGAAAGTTGTGTGATCTGGGACCTTTATACAGTGCGTGTCATTGTACAAGTCCTATGATACATCTGTTCCAAATGATCATGAACATGGAATTTATATTGTAATTTCAATATGAAAACAGTTGTAAAGGGACCAAAGTAATAGCCAAAGAACTCTTACTTTGATCTGTTACAATTTTCCAAATTATGAGATAGAAATTCAAGATCATGAAGCTTGGGGCATCTGTTGCGAGGTCAGTCATACTACATTTTCCCATATGAATAATTACTTGTCAGATAGAAAGGAACACATTTGACTGATATCACTTTTGATGGAGAAAGAGCAATCTTTCCTGATGCATAACAGGTGAAGCAGGAATACAATGACAGTTCTTAGTTCGTCGAGAACAGATTTGCTAATGGAATGTCTATTTTAATTTGGAATCCATCCTAATGGGAGAAAAAAACGAATCCTTTAAGAATCCTTCCGAAACTTTCGGTAGTAAAACAATTTTGAAAGTTGTGTGATCTGGGACCTTTATACAGTGCGTGTCATTGTACAAGTCTATCCCTCACAGCATAACTTGCATCTGTGTTAAATTCAGTATGGCGTCTAACCTGACTCAAGTCTATAATTATCCCACTGGATTTTTAAAAAAAACGGCGAAAGGTGGTTTCTTCTGGATTTTGTTTCTGGATTTGATGGTTTTAGAGGAGTTTTGGGCACTGTCTTGGAGATCAGCTGACACCACACCAAAACTGAACACCAGCTAACACCAGCACACCACCTTAAGCTGTTTTTTCTGTCCAGCAGCAGCATTGTATTTGATTCTTAAATGATTCTCATTTGAGGCCCGTGGAAATTCAGTTAGGGGTAGGAAGCATTAACATTTGTTGACTCCTGCATCAATGGCAAGGTCACTCACATGACATTATCCCATACGGATAATGACTGTCACACAGACAGGAGAGTATTTTAAAAAGGTGGTTTCTTCTGGATTTTGTTTCTGGATTTGATGGTTTTAGAGGAGTTTTGGGCACTGTCTTGGAGATCAGCTGACACCACACCAAAACTGAACACCAGCTAACACCAGCACACCATCTTAAGCTGTTTTTTCTGTCCAGCAGCAGCATTGTATTTGATTCTTAAATGATTCTCATTTGAGGCCCGTGGAAATTCAGTTAGGGTTAGGAAGCATTAACATTTGTTGACTCCTGCATCAATGGCAAGGTCACTCACATGACATTATCCCATACGGATAATGACTGTCACACAGACAGGAGAGTATTTTATTGTGACCCTGAGGGATGTTTTTGGTTTGATTATTCCCTGAGATCCATAAAGGGCCTCAGTGAAATAATGAGTTGTGTGAGAGTATCTGAGTATTGATTACTGAATCGATCAGCTCAGACAAACTTCATCCTCCCTGTTCTACAGTTATAGTCCTGATGCTGTGGTGATGATGATGATGTTGATGCCAGCTCGCAGTTCTCTAATTAGTCTGTCAATGCGTTTGCCTTTTCATTTAGCAAGCGGAGCAGATCATTAAAACTGCATTTTTTATAGCAGTAAACTCAGCATTTCAGAGACCATTCAAACATGAGATGGAAACATGGGCATGGACATTATTAGTTAATATTAATTAAAAATATTAACACTTTGTAATAGCTGTCATTGATAAGTCATTGCATTATATATAAGTTGTAGCTACTTAGATTATGTAAGACGTAATTAAAAGTTTCATGATATTTCTGTATATTTGAACATGAACTAATCTGTTAAGATGTATTTAATGTTAGTGTTTGTTAATGTTAAAATACTGTTAAGCTACAATGCCAATCAAAAGTTTGGAATAATTAATAATTAGGCTGCATTTATTTGATCAATAATAAACTGTAATATTGTGAAATAGAGTAATTTAAAATAACTGCATTTTAAACTGTAATTTATTCCTGTGATCAAAGCTGAATTTTCAGCATCATTACTCCAGTCTTCAGAGTCACACAATCCTTCAGAAATCATTTTAATATGCTGATTTGCTGCTCAAAAAAGCATTTCTTATTATTATCAATGTTGAAAACAGTTGTGCTGTTGAAAATGTATGCGAAAATTGTGATGCGCTACCATTTAAAAGTCTGGGTAATTTAAAGAAAGAGAAAGAAAATACTTTTGTTCAGCAAGTATGCATTAAATTGATGAAAAGTGATAAATATATTACATTTATGAAGTTGCAAAAGATGTCTATTTCAAATAACAGCTGTTCTATTAACTTTCTATTCATCAAATAATTCTGCAACAATGTATTATGGTTTCCACAAACATATTAAGCAGCAAGAACTGTTTTCAACAATGATTATATTAAAAATCATTATTAATAATTGAACGCCAATAATAATTGAAAATAGCTGAGCAGCTAATCAGCCTATTAGAATAATATATGATTTCAATATTATAACGGTTATTTTAAATTGTAATAATTTTTGATAATATTACTTTTACTGTATTTTTGATCAAATAAATGCAGCCTTGGTGAGAATAAGAGACTTCTTGTTTTTAAAAGAAAATTTATGCGAAAATTGTGATGCGCTACCATTTAAAAGTCTGGGTAATTTAAAGAAAGAGAAAGAAAATACTTTTGTTCAGCAAGTATGCATTAAATTGATGAAAAGTGATAAATATATTACATTTATGAAGTTGCAAAAGATGTCTATTTCAAATAACAGCTGTTCTATTAACTTTCTATTCATCAAATAATTCTGCAACAATGTATTATGGTTTCCACAAACATATTAAGCAGCAAGAACTGTTTTCAACAATGATTATATTAAAAATCATTATTAATAATTGAACGCCAATAATAATTGAAAATAGCTGAGCAGCTAATCAGCCTATTAGAATAATATATGATTTCAATATTATAACGGTTATTTTAAATTGTAATAATTTTTGATAATATTACTTTTACTGTATTTTTGATCAAATAAATGCAGCCTTGGTGAGAATAAGAGACTTCTTGTTTTTAAAAATCTTAATTATTCCAATCTTTCGGTAGTGTGTTATAAAGCAGTGGAGACCAGAAATATTCTACTCCAGGCAGGGTAAGAAGTGTTTCTCATGTTTCTGTCACTTTCTGTGTTTTTTGCAGTTCTATTTAGTGCCGCTAGCAGCACAGCAATGACACACTTCACCTCTAATTAGTTTGGCTTCTCCTAACAGTTATTATAAGTGTTCCCATTCAGCTGAGAGTGACTGTCTCTTGTCCTCTTTTGTAGGACCATCGTTTCAGTGATGAGATTGATAAACTCACCGGATATAAAACCAAGTCTCTGCTGTGCATGCCCATCCACAACAGTGATGGAGAGGTCATCGGGGTCACACAGGCCATCAACAAGAGTCCCAATGGAGCACTCTTCACCGACGATGATGAAAAGGTACCACAGGCACATGCTCTGTAACAACGCTTATTATACAAGTTAACTATGCTTGCCTTCTGCTCTTGTCTTCTATAAACATTTGACCTAGTGTGTTTCTTCCAATGTGTAAAATGCAACACAGAAAGAACTTTTTTTCCTCCATTCTGAATGGTTTAATGTTAGAAATGGAAACGAATGCTGAGATTGACAAGTGCATCTTCTGGATTTTCAGAGTGATACAGGAGGTCAGGGGTCGTCTCTCAGCTTTCAGGGTGGAGTTTTTCATATCATTAGCAAAGCATTTCTACCTAAGGATGTTGATTTTTAGATGGTAGCTGTCTGAGATGGTGAATGGGAATGTGATTTGTGTAACATTAGCAACGCATTATTAGCTGTTTAATAACATAGTCAATCCAAAGGCTAATGATATCAATTACTGTTACGTGTCCGACGTTGCTGAGAGTAATGCATAAAATGCATTCCCATTCTGATATATCAACTTGTACACAACCCTATAATTCATTCTTCCTCTTCTTTTTTGGAATCAGTTTCTGGTCCAAACTAGGGCTGTCACGATACCAAAAATCTAGTAGTCGCTACCGATACCACTAAAAGTACACGATACTCGATACCAAATCGATACCACTGGAAAAAATTGCAATAATACTTAAATATTAACTCCTACTAAATATTAACCCTTGTAATTAACATTACAAAAACGCAACATTAGTGGCACCTGTACTTAATAATACACGCGCACAAGCACACACACACACACCTATATTCTGAATGCAAGCAGTAGTTAAAATTCACTGACATACTGGCAGGCCGAAAATATTTTTTTTAAACCATTCATAAACAACAATTATATAAAACAATAATATTAGCCAATAATGTTAATAAGGATAATCCAAGGACGGATACACAATGAATGAACAAGCTATAAGCTGTCAGACAGTTAGGTGTGTGCGTAATCATGCGCTGCGCTAGTGCTTTCAGAGCTGCGCGCTCTCATTTAAATCTTTCACAATCACATTCATATATCGTCGCCGTATTCCACATTAAGTTCTTCTGTGTGCTTCTAGGCGTTTTTTTCTTTCTTATTTTTTACCCTTTGAGGACCGGCTGAAACACTTTTAGGCATATGCTCTTGCCTGCCCCCATCAGTTCCGGAAGAATTGCAGTCTCCACTAATCGATACTTTCGGTACTGTACCACTTGTAAAACAAGAATCGGCAGGTGTGATTGAGTGGAGGCGGGGACTAATTTGCATATATATCCACATATACTAAATGATTTTGTCAGTCAGAGTCCACTTGACTTTAAAGAGCCCGAACATTTAAAGTGGCAGAAGAAATGCACTATTTGGACACACCTCTTAATTATTGAATTCAGGTGTTTCAATCAAACCCATTGCCACAGGCGCATAAAATCAAGCATCTAGCCATGCAGTCTGTGTCTACGTCTACATTAATCCGGATACAATTGAAAATGGTGTTTTCATTTCAAAATGCTCTCTGTCCACACTAGCGTATTCAGGCATTTTCCAAAAGTTTCTCATCCACATTGAAACGTCGGAAAACATAAAATTCTCTTTCCTGCGCATGCGAAAAGCCTCATAAAAGCTCACTGAGATGATACAGACGGAACGGACATAATACGTTTACATGCAATTCTTCTTCCCTGCTGAAAAAACCAGCATACTGTATGCTGCATATACATCATTATATGTCTGATCTAAAACGCAACTGCCCTCATGTTTTGCCGCAAAACAGCAATCGCTAATACATTTTCTGTCACCTTTGCAGGACTGTGATATGAAGAGTGTACGAAGTAACATATCTTTAGCAACAGTGTGAAAGTAGCACATAACAGGCACAATACCGGTATAAACATGGATATCTATTAGTTCAGTATGTGTCACATGACTAAACATGTGTCATCGTTTTTAAATACCTTCGTTTTCACAGTCAACTCTACAACACGAAAACAGCGTTTTCAAATTTATAGACTTTGGAGACCGTTTTCAAAAAGCTTGAAGCTGGAAATTATATCATAGAGAGGACCCCTGCAGACACTCATGACTGTGTGTCAAGGTCAATAAGTCTTTTAAAATACCAGATAATTTCATCTTTTTATGACAATACAAAGCCAGTATAACTCATTATACTCATATTTAATTATAAACGTATATAAAAATATATATTTAACAAGATTTTGACTATCTTGGGCATTCTTTTTTGTTATTGCTCCATTAACAGATCATTCTACCTCTGAGCAGAGAAATTTAATAAGGTGTAGAGAGTGAAATTCAGTTTAGTGCATTCAGTTGAGGAGACTGCAGTGATGTCTCGTAGCTTTGCACTGACGTCACAAACCGTGTGCTTATGTAATGGCCCTGTCATTGGATCACTGTGAGTGGGCAGAGTGTTCATGACTGTCTGTGTAAAGCTGAATAGTTAGCGTTAGTTGTTCTTGTCATCGTTTGTTCTGGGTTAAGGTAGCGTGGTCAACCACGCCATGCTATCATGAAAAAGAAATAAAGTGTCTCATTAATGTTGACCTTCAGTAACAATGAAGTCTTTATAAACACAGAAGCAGTTCTCATATGGCAGAGTCATTAATCAGCGGCCGCTGCTGAAGTCCCTGAGCCGCTCTGCTCTGTTTACAGGTGCTCAAGTGACAGGTAATACACCTTATTTCACGGGGGATGCGCGGCATGTGTGAAACGTGTGAATGTACGGGACATATTCATTTGTACTTTTTTACTTTTCTCTGTCTTTACAAAAAGTTTTTTTGGAGTTATGGTAGTACCATTTTAAATACTTTTGGATTTCCATGTACAATATCATAACACATGAATATCATATCAACATGGAACCACCACAGTACCTGTGTAAGAATTATTAGTGGTGCTTGCTAATGCATTCATTACTATTTAGCCCCGTTCACACTGACAGTCACTGTGAGTTTTTAGCAAGCATTCCCACTCTGTATCAGTTGTCGCATCATTGCCTGTAAATATCGTTTGTAATTCTTTTGACGTTTTTGATTCAGTTCACAAAACTGGTCTGAATGATTCATTCACACACTGAACTGAATTGGCTCTTGATTTCAACAACCTTAATTATCAAGTTGCAGTAGTTAATAGCTCAGTGGACCCATGTAAAATGAAGTGCACTTAACAGTTAGTTAATGTCATGTAATCAAACAGACGGTGAACACTATTAACAGCAATGATTATATGTTGCAATCAAACTTAGTTTTGTATGTTGTTTGAGGGTTGGCATCATCTGAGGTCCTCTGGGGGGTTGGCATCATCTCTTCTCAGGTGTTCGGTCATCTCTGGTCTGTAATCTAGATTTAAACAGAGAGAGTGTCTGAACCCCGAACGTTATCAGGAAGGCTATTCCAGACTTTGGGAGCCAAATGTGAAAAAGCTCTACCTCCTTTAGTGGACTTTGCTATCCTAGGAACTACCAACTTCCAGAGTTTTGGGACCTTAGGGATCGTGATGAATTGTAGCGTGGTAGAAGACTTGTTAGGTACGCTGGAGCTAACTCATTAAGGGCCTTATAGGTAAGTAATAATATTTTGTAAGTGATACAGAACTTAATAGGTAGCCAGTGCAGAGACTGTAAAATTATAGTCTTAATGCTCAAAATACCTTGGTTTTTCTCAAAATAACCACTATATGGAGTCAAGATATATTTTTGTTGTTGCTATGGACTACGTTGACAAGAGTGATGTAGAAGTATTCACCGTGAAGCTTACAGTGCATGTATCTGAGAGAACATTATTTTACCATGAGTGATCTAACTTTCAGCAGTAAGAAAAAATGTTTTACAGTTTTTACAGTTATATGATATAACAATAAGGCCTATTGTTAGAGATTACATTTTATTTATGGAAAATATTAATATATTTTCATAATCATTTTTATTTTATTGTCTGTGGGGTAAAACACCCCTGGCCACTTGGTGTAAAATGCCCCCAGAGGGCATCACTTCCCACTATGATAATTACTGTAGTTACTTTGTTCTGAACATTACATTCTTTGTTGAATAAATATATTTGGACTTATATTTAAAAATGACCAAGTTAGCATCGGCTAGCTAATTAGCTAGACAGTTAGCATCAGCTAACAATATTGTCTGATTTTCAGCAACTGTTATCAACTGTTATTTTGGCTTGTCTTTTTGATGTTAAGCTAAAACGTCTAAAACGAGCAAAGGCTCGAGTGGGCCCTGCTGTAGTGATTTTAGCACTAGAGACAGGTCCCAAGAGGGTATAGAGGGGGGCCGGGAAGGATTCAACCTCCTGGCCCCTCTAAGGAACCTGATGACGAGGTCATGCTTACCTATGGACTTCCCATTACCGGGTCATGGTACGCAGCAATAGCAGCAACCTGGACATTGAGGGTGGAGGGAGACAGCCTTCGCTCCAGCCCTTGCTGCAGACAGGAAAACACGACCGCAATCGGGCATCTCCGGGGGTCTTCTCGGCGAGAAGAACACCACTCGACGAACAGGTTCCACTTCAAGGCGTAAGAGTGTCTCGTAGACGGTGCTCTTGCCGAAGTGATGGTGTTCACTACCTCCTGGGGTAGGTCACCTAGAACCTCCGCGTCCCGTCCAGGGACCAGACATGGAGTTTCCAAAGGTCTGGACGCGGGTGCCAAACGTTGCCCCGTCTCTGAGTCAGTAGATCCTTCCTCAGAGGAATCGGCCAAGGAGGGGCTGTTGCGAGGAGCACTAGCTCGGGGAACCAGTTCCGAGTGGGCCAATACGGCGCCACTAGCAAGACTTGCTCCTCGTCCTCCCCAATTTTGCACAGTGTCTGTGCGAGAAGTCTCACTGGGGGAAACGCATACTTGCGTAGGCCCTGCGGCCAGCTGTGTGCCAGTGCGTCTGTGCCGAGTGTTTCCTCGGTCAGGGAGTAGAAAAACTGGCAGTGAGAGGTTTCTGGAGAAGCAAACAGGTCTACTTGAGCGGCTCCGAAACGTCTCCAAATCAGCT